CAATTCAAGGCAATTTGTATTTAATGTAATTCAACAAATGACTCCTAAAATCACTCAAAATTTTAAATATTAAATAAAAATTCTTTCACTTATTAAATAAAAAAATAGTTCATACCTGAAGTGACGGTGACTGTCGTCCCTTTCCCCCAGTAGTCAAAAGCACCGTAGCACAGTCGTGAATTGACTTATGTCTCAGTACAAAAAGGCTTATTCACTAACAGTGACGGTCAAATACTTTAACAGGCACATTTTCACCATTTTATATAATGAATTAAAACCTTTCAAAATGTACTAACTGTTAATATCTACTTAAACATTATTTTATGTTTGAATCATAATGTCTAGTCACTCTAATTCTAATAGTCATATTTTCCATTGGTACTTAACATGGTTTAGTTAAAACCAGTCTAAAATATAAATCTATTTTCAGAGTTCAGTCACGAATGAATTAATAAAAAAATAGATTAATTTATTCACAACTTTGTTCTAGTCTTTTATCTGCTGACAGTTGTATTCCAGTGAAAACAAATATTTATATTTTGTTTTAGTTAAAAAAATTCAATAAAAAAAGTTTGCAAATGATAAATAATGTGTTTTCATACCTGAAGTGACGGTGACCATCGTCCCTTTTCCCCAGTAGTCAAAAGCAGCGTTRCACAGTGATGAACTGACCTAAGTCTTGATGTAAAATGGGTAATCCACTAACGAAAATGGAACATTTTACCACACTTACTCTGTTTAAAAACTAGATTTAAACCACTTAAAATATGCTGGTAAAAYCACCTTTCTAGTTGTTTTATTCTATGATAAAATACATGTGTATTAAAAACCTTGCAGAGCTTGAGTTTAAACATAAATTCTGAATTTGAAACTCTAAAACACAAAGTTCTGCAGAGGTTATTCTCACCTCGTGTCCCTTTTCTCCAGGAGCCCAGTTGTCCTATAAAGCCTTTTTTTACTTACCATTGTGATACAATAAAGACATACATTTACATTTAACTGAATTTTCACTTACAGATCAGAAATAATAGCTTTTCATACCTGATGTGACGGTGACAGTRGTCCCTTTCCCCCAGTAGTCGAAAGCGTAGTCACAGTGTTAAAGTTTAACATAGCCGGCACACAAAAACCAACCTGTTCATGCCACTGAGGTTCGGAAGATGTTAAACTGGACTGAGCAATATTTTTGTTTTTGTGGTAAATGATGCAAAAAATAAAAGAACATTTTTACTCATCATAGTTCTTTCTTGCACTAATGAGAATCATCATACAGCATAACATTCAAGCACAAAAACAGGCGTCTAATATGTTTTTTTTGATGACTTTGAGGTCAAAACATAATAAATTTAACAGCTGAAATAATACATAAAAGCATGAATACAATACGTTTATATTTTTACCTGATGTGACAGTCACTGTTGTTCCTTTCCCCCAGTAGTCAAAGTAGTAGTCACAGTAATGGATTTTAATGTCATTTTAGTGCAAAATACCCCACTCACTTGTGTCATTAAATAAATGAATGTTCTTTATCAGTAAATACCAAAACTGACCCAGCCACTCACCAAAAGTTTCCTCTAAACCCAAATTACATCTTTGGTTTCAAAGCTCAAACATACATTAAATAAATAAATTTAAAAAAATGTTAAAATCAATTATTTTCAAATGCTAGATTGAAACTTACCAGACGTTACTGTGACCTGCGTTCCTTTCCCCCAGTAGTCGAAGTAGYCATCACAGTGACATACAACAGTTCATTTGTAATACAAATACATACTTTGTTTGAATAAAAAAAAGAGTTCACATGTTTACGGAGAAAAATAATTCCTGCTGTACTWTTTACGAGCATCATCCCAGGAGATTTTCATTTCCTCTGAGTTGCATAAACTTATGTCTACTTGCCTTTAGTGCATGCTTCCTCTTTTTCTTGACATTGTTGTCAGATCAAATTTTACTATTAAGGTCACACAGTCGTTARTAACAAATATTCCATTACATTTTGATTGTGACAGAAGGTATTTTTGTGAATGTGGACATACAGTATTAGCCAGAAACAAGATTTGCAGCACTGTAGTCATTGTTCATTTTTTATTCATTTTTAATTACTTTTATTGTTTTGTTGCCATAAAGTGATTGTTCCAACTCATTTGGGTCATTAAAGACATCAAACCCAGTCAAACAGATACATTTTCCAACAGCATATTCCAAACTATACACTATATGTATAATAAGCAACGGACTACTGTAATGAAAGCAGTTTTTGTTTATACATTGTACTTTTTTCTATGTTGTTTTCAGTGGTTGCCGTCAAGGCCAGCAAAGCCTTTTCTGCTGGCCTAAAAACACAATCAGAATCGTTAGTTTACATTTTAGTGTTAGGCTTTTTTTATTTTTGAAATATTTGTTCTCTTGGTTTCATAGGTTTTTCTCCTGCCTGCACAGCTTCCAGTAGCTTGTATTTATTTTGAGTTTTTATACAATCATRTTTTGATCATCATCTGTTGCTAGGGTCCAGAAATCKGCCTCAGGCCTTCAGAACGAACAGTGCAGACACGTGGAGCATGAAACAAACAACAGTGATACTGYTGCTTTGACCAGTCAGGTGCTGGGGTGAAGACACCAGAGCCTGTTAGCTGGCATTTTCACGACGTTTGATCAGAGAAGAGACAATTCCAAACTGGGAAACTGGATTTCTGTAGCATCCATTCGTTTTCTTCTGCTTATCTGGGGTCAGGGCRCGGGGGCAGCAGCCTAAGCAGAGAGACTCAGCCTTCCCGCTCCCCAGCCACATGGGCCAGCTCCTCTRGGGGAATCCCAAGGCATTCCCAGGCCAGCYGAGAAACATAGTCCATCCAGCGTGTCCTGGGTCTTCCTCTGGGCCTCCTCCCAGTGGGATRTACCCAGAACACCTCATRAGAAAGGCATCATGAGTAAGTGAGTGAGTGWGCATCCTYGATCTTGTTCTTTTGGTCACTACCCAAAGCTCGTGACCATAGATGAGGGTAGGAACRTTGACGGAMCGGTAAACCAAGAGCTTTGCCTTCTGGCTCAGCTCTTGATTCACCATGACAGAYCGGTACAGCACCCACATCACTGCAGACGCAGCAMCAATCTGCCTGTCGATCTCYCRCTCCATTCTTCCCTCATTCGTGAACAAGACCCCAAGATACTTAAACTCCTCCACTTGGGGCAGGGCCTCCTCCACGACCCGGAGGCGGCACGCTAACCCTTTTCGGTTCAAGACCATGGTCTCGGATTTGGAGGCAATGATCCTCATCCTGACTGCTTCACACTCAGCTGCTAACCGCTCCAGTGAGAGCTGGATGGATATCACAATCTGATGAAGCCAATAGGACCACTTCATCCACAAAAAGCAGAGATGTGATCCTAAGGTCACCAAAATGGATCTCCTAAACACTTTGGCTRCGCCTAGAAATTCTGTCCATAAAAGTTATGAACAGAAKCGGTGTGAAAAAGAGCAACTTTGATGGAGTACAACTCTCACTRGAAACRAATTYGACTTACTACCGGCAATGCAGATCAAATTCTGACTCCGGTYGTACAGGGACCTAACTGCCCAWATCAACGGGTCTGGTACCCCATACTTCCATAGTAACTCCCACTGAACTCCCCGAGGGATAYGGTCRAATRCCTTCTCGAAGTCCACAAAACACATGTAGACTGAACCCTCCAGGACCCTKCTGAGGGTGTAGAGCTGGTCCAGTGTTTAACAACCAGGATGAAAATCACACTGCTCTTCCTGAATCCGAGATTCAACTATCTGACAAACCCTCCTCTTCAGGACCGTTGAATAAACTTTATCAGGGAGGCTTAGAAGTGTGATCCCCTAGTTGGTTGAAAGTCCAGTCTGTTCTGTCATATATTCTGTAGCGTCTTACAAGCTAAATGYCRAGCGGACATTTTCATCAATACAGAAAATTAAAATTTATGACAAAAATATGACAAAATAGACTGGACTTCATTAGCTTCATGGTGGTGATTAAAAAAGGACTTGTTGGAACGGACACGCCATGAGGACCTGCGTGACAGAAACATGAGGATCTGTGWGACAGAGGAAAGAAACTCTTGTAGGATGGGGTTTGTAAACACATATGAAAAGGTTTTGGTGAATAAAATGTGTTGYATTTAAATGTTTTATTTAGTTGTCTGTTTATTACGTCCGTACTGACACTGTTGGTAAGTGTGTGTGGCACAGCTGTGGCTGCAGTTGGAGAAAACTTGTGAAATGTGTCGCTTCTTTTCATTCTAGCTCCGTGGCCAGCAGGTTCTCCCCCACCCCGTCCTCTCTGCAGCTGGCAGTAACATTCAAACATGCTGCTGTGCTCTTTGTTGGTCTGCCCCAGTCTTAGGCCACATCATGTTCCACTTCACTGTTTGAGTCATGTGTCTCAATGAGCTTCATGTTATGAATCATGTCTCAGCCTAAGCCCATCACCATGTTCTCACCATGATCCTTTCTCAGTCTGCTTTTTCATGYTCTATTCTCTGAGGGGATCCAAGTGTTTGCCTCTCCTCTATGTGAAGTTCCTGTCTCCAAGGGAGCTCCAGGGGTCCTCATAATGGCCTACTTCATCTCCTGCTACCAAGGGTCTATCGAGCCACTGAGGTGCCATAATGGCATCCATCATTTCCACCTTCAACTGAAGTCATTAATAAGTCTTTATGTTTACTTCATCAGTCAAAGTATTCCATTCACACATTGCTGCCCTCCTGAGCTAGACCTKGTTCAATGAGCTTTATCCAGCTTGCCCCATGGACAGAGAGGTTTCATCTTTATCCTTTTTTGCTGGACATGCTTTTCTGTACTTACTGTACTTTAGCTTGTTWATGGAAAGCCATTGTCTTTCTACGGTAATAAGATGAACCATCACCAAYAAAGGACATTAACAAAATGATGATGAAAGCCTATATTGTCATCGTTTACACAATGAAAATACATTTAAGAACACCCATTCAAGAAGACACACACATGAAAAAAAACGTAACAGATGTTCAAGTCATGCGGCGACTTGTAGAGGTCGCACTACCTTTAAAAAGCTTGGAATACACACAATAGGAAAAATGAGTTAAAAAACTGCTCTGATCCTACACAGAAACAGAGGATCATATGCTAAAAAAACATTCGCATTTAGTGCAAGACAGCTAAGGAAGGAAGGGGGCTGGAGATCAAACACATGGTACGGGATAGGATGCGAAAGAGCTGGTGACATTTCAGGGTAATGCTCTGTGCTGGAACCAATCAAAGACCTTCAGAGTCCAAAAAACACGTTATCAACCAAGCACAAATCACCAGAGTTCAGTTTCTCTGTCTCCACCCATCGTGGCCTCCAGACTGATCCACCCACTGGTGAAATGGGTAGGGGATGGGGAGACAAGCCTCTGTCTCACATGTCATCTGGGGAAGTTTTGACAACTGCTGACAAGGTCAGCAGCTGCAGGGATCCAAAGATAAACATACTTGTTTGGGTCAAGCAGCCTTTGTTTTTTTGCTGCTTTCAGTCTTTAACTGCATCTCTGTGATGGCGAAAATTCCAATGTTCCAAATTCCAGTACCTCCTCACCTCTCTCTGTCTGAAACTTCACCCAGGTGTAATCTTMCTCCTCACGGGCATGCTGCTGAACTGCAATTCTTATCAGAATCACGTCCAGTTTGCGMTTTATAGCCCCCAACATTTGAGTTTGTGCATTTCCAGTACGGGAGACTCCATCCACGGTCCCTGACAGCTTTTCACAGGCTCGGACTTCTGTCAGGATCGCTTTCATTTCCCGATAAACCAGGACACCTCCACAGCCGATCAGCAGGATTCCAGTTATCATGAATCCAAATATATGTAGATCTTCCATGTCTTCGATGGAAAGCGGGGCCAAACAGATCAGGTTYCACCCCCAAGAGCCAGACACACGCCTGGCCGCCACCATTCCACTGGGACACCTACGCTCCCAATGCTCCAATCTCAGTGCAGAAAAAAAAGTGTCGATTGCGTTCAGAGACCAGTTGACCAAATCCATAATTCCTTTTGTTTTCGAATGATAGGTAGGAGAAAGGCTTGAAAAATCTTTGTTTGCATAACTTGCCAAAAGGGTCTAGGTATTGACAGAATATGTGAAAATACAAACTTGGTTTAAACTTAAAAAATTCGTTATCATCATCAG